GCTTTCTACATCACATTTGCATGTTTAATTAAATGTTACTTGCCATTTATTTGTAATTATTTGCGAAATTGAATAGTAATTCCTAAATGAAAATTGTTTTAAAGTAGATACTTTTTCAATTCAGTGCAAATCAATCGATAGATTTGTATGAGGAAGAGAGTAAACTACTTTGGGCAAATCTCAGTTACTGTTTACAAAAATTGTGAGACAATTTATATATAGTGTATGATTATATATCATGCTTTTATAATGTTTATTTGTCATTACTGGAGCTTGACATAGTCATGAACTTGCATACTTGCATGATATACCAGATTGAAGCAACATGATGGCAGAATTTGTTTTTGTGACAGAATCTGTTTTTTTTTTTTTTTTATTTTACTTTTTTTTTACAAAAGTTTTACAAAAGTTTCATGGCCACCAGAATTAATGAAACATTGCAATGAACTCATTGTAAACTGTAAAGTTTGGTTTAAAGAACTTAATTAATGCAATTTTCCCATTTTACGTAACATATCTGAAGTTAAAACTATTTAAAGTTAATATGTTGTTCAAAGCATTATCTAACTCTTTACATATACACTAATTAAACAAGAACATTTTAATTAAAGAACTCGCTATTTGTATATTGTCTAACGGCAGTTTAGAAACTATTAATGAACTATTTGACAAATGATTTGTAAACATATACTTAATATAAAGTGTTATCAAACTTTTTATTTTAGCTTTATAAAAAAAATGTAACGCTTGAATTAGTGTGGATAAAATAAAGCAACATTTTGAATAAAAAGCTTGAAAGTCGTTTTTTTTCTTCTTCAAAGACTACAATGTGCGTAAGCAATACTTCTATCGCTTGTTTCTGCTTCTTCGCCTGTGTTTTGATCGGAAGATGCTGTACTCTTTCAGAACATGTTTAATAGCGCCCCCTACCATATAAGAGTGAAAACACGGAAATTCCGCCAATGGTGGGCAAAGAGTTAACGCCGAGTGACAATTATATTTCGATTTCTATGTATCACAATATCAAAACGGCAAGCTCTGATAACCCTAGTAGACCAAGAGACCTACCCAGACCTGATTGACTCATGCCGTTGCAATGTTTACCGGTTGCGTTTCATTCCTTTTCTTTTTTTCTAAGCAATTAGAAACAAGAGATGGCTGCTGTAGACGTGCCAGGGCTGTGCAGTTTCCGCTCATGTCAGTTGTAAAGGGCTTAACCCTACTCGGGCCTGTTTATTTGCATCCCTCAGTGAGTTTCGCCCATCCACAAGGAAGCCTCATGCTACTGTACCCCAATAAAACCAGAAAACACAGTCAGGGATGGCATGAACTGACTCTATTGTGGATGCTGCCAGTGCCCAACAAGCCCTCTTTATGATAGCAGGAATTATGATGGCCGTGGATATGTGAAATCGCTGGTGGCGAGCAAGATAAGTCGAGTAATTGTCACTTACTGTAACAGCGACTCCCATTCATTAAAGGCCCGTGTCTAATAAACTACTGGAGGAAAGGAGGCCAGCTGTACTGTGAAGCTCACACAAGGCGGCTCTTTCTCTGCGGCCTCAAACTTTGTCAAAAGGCGAAACTGTCTATGGGGCGCTCTGTGATTCAACAGAGATTCCAATAGAGGTTTGTCTTGGGGAGCAAACAAGGGCTTGCTTTTGTCCAGATAGGGTGTTCAAGAGGGACAGCAAAAACTGATATAGCTACTTCTTTAGACCGGTTCCAGTTATGTAAACTGGAAAACAAACAATTCAAGGGCTGTTGTGATACTTAACTTTCCCCCTTCAGTCTTCGTTATACTTTCAGCAATAGTTGATCATAAAACTTATAGGTTAAAATTGAGCAAATCTGTCAAGGCGCAAAGATATTTTTATTCGCATTTCATGACAATTAACCCAAAAATTCTCATTGGAATCTTAACTATCAATAATTGTTCAAGTAAATACCAATTCAACCTGCATCATCTAACTAACGCTAAAGGTAAGATAGATGACGCCCTAGGATCGTGTCATGTAACTGACGCTAAAGGGTGCCTAAAGTATCGGATGCTGAAGCGTGATCAAAATTGTCAGTTAGATGACGCCTTGGGATGAGAATGCGTTGTAAATACTGTAATTAAACACCATGACATTATTTGTTGTGTTGCCTTCATCTTATGCTGAACGTTTTTTGAAATAGCCTCTCATTAATTACCGCGCAATTGTCAGCCAATAATAAAACTCCATAAAAAATAAAGAAATTAGTTTAATTCTCTTCATACTATATATATATATATATATATATATATATATATATATATATATTCGGGCTGTCAGTTAAACGCATTATTAACGGCGTCAACGCAAACCCATTTTAACGGCGTTAGTTTTTTATCGCGCGATTAACGGTCTTTTTGGCCTAGCAAACTTTTTCGTTTTTTTCACATGCTTTTGCAACATGAAGCGGCATGCTCTGAAACCCAATTATTTCACTGGCCGCACGAGGATTGTTGCTTCATCGACTAAAGCGCAAGCGGATCTAGCTAGACCTGAAACAAAACAACAGGCACACCACCGCACACACTCGTTTGGGCTTGCGAGCCGGCTAAATAATTGGTTAACGTGACGTTTTGAGTGGATGACGAACGCGAGGCGTTGAAATGGATGCCGATAAGATTCTGAATGGAAAATTTACTTTCATAAAGTTGCCGAATGGTCCCATTGACAAGACCAAATTGATCTGTGTGTTTTGTCGTTGTGAACTGAGCTATCACCATCGCAGCACATCCAAATATCAAATATCGCTTGATGATGGCCAAACACACACACACACACACACACACAGCTGATGCGAATTCTCCGCCCCCTCCTCAATATCAGGACCTCGTCAAAATTTCTTTCACCCTTTTATTGATGGACAGTGTTACACTGTGTGAGAGATTATTTGCTCCAAGTGAGAATGTTAGTGTGAAATTGAACACAGTATATGCCAATGTTGTTTTCAATAAAAAACAATTGCACAAAGCAAGCTGATCCAGTTTTCCACGTTGATAAGAGCATTAAAATGAGAAAAAAATAATGGGACAAAAAGAAATCAAGAGACATTCAAAATAGAAAATGTGTGATTAATTGCAATTAATCACAAATTAACTATGAAATTAATGCGATTAATCACGATTAAATATTTTAATCGTTTGACAGCATATATATATATATATATATATATATCACAGTAAAAATTTTGCTGCAATTAGTTATAACAACTTTGTTTCAATTTTAAGATGTGATAAATAATCACAGCAAGTTGGTTAGTTGACTCATAACCTATCATACAAAGTCAGTACTCCAATTATTTAGAGTCCTACCATTACAATGGCTTCCTCATCACTGAATTCTTACATTTGCTCTTCTAGAGAGAATGTAAGAAACTAGATGACTTGAGGAATCCGTGAATAGAAGCCCTCAAATCCTCTACCCCCATTTTTTCTGTACAGTGAAGTGAATTCCAGAGGTGCTTCAAGAGGAACACATGTCCTCAAGTATGCTGACATTTGAATGCATTTCTAGGGTGACAGCAGAAGGAACCCTGTTGGTTTGGGGTGTCTTCGCTGGATCATGTTGGGCCATTGTGCGTCCATCTCAACTTCCTGTCAGTAACTGTCTAAGGGAGGCATGTACTAACTTTTTGGAATGTATCAAGTCCTTGTGAACTATTTTCTTTATTTTCCAAAAAGGAAAAACTTCCTTTTTCTAACCTTTTAAACTGAAGCCTGTGCAATGGCCTAATCTGCAAAATCTTCACAAGCCATTGCAACTTTAAAAAATATTAGTTTTTAGCAACTTTACTCGCTGTAACGCAACAGCTAAACCTCATCCTAAACTCATCCGGAGAGACGTGGGTTTATATTTACAGAGTTATACCAATTTAGCAGGGACTCAAACAGAACTCCCATAAGGATATTTGCTGTCATCAACTGAGCTCATGGCGGTTTAGCACAGACCAATTAAGACTCATATTTGCTTATACAGTTGTTGTGTTTCTCCATGGGCCATTGTGATTGAGGCTATACATCCCATTGTTTTCCAATAATTAATGATACTTTGTCTTTACTTTGGACTTTACAGGGATATGAGTTTAAGAAGGCTCAAAGAATGAGAGAGATATAAAGTAAAGCACAATTCAAACACACAAGGCACTAATGACAAATTACTAACTTCAGAAGGTCAGAGTAAAAGTCAACAAAGAAAGCAGCTTCACTCCTGAATCTAACCGTTGAGGAATACATGGGTAAGGTTGAGCGAAGTGTTGTAAAGTTGGATTATGGAATCCGAGGGGGAAGTGGGATTGACTCCATCTGTCGAGAGGGTCTTCCAGTCGACTTTGGCCCACATGCTGGATGCTGGCTCTTTCACACTTCCTCCCGCAGTCCTAGACATGGTCCTCGAAGGGGGAGTGTACCAAAAGGCATAGCCTCTATCTAAGGGTCTTTGTCCCGATGGGGGGCAAACAGTGGGATCCTACAGGAAAGGAAACTCACGCCCCCTCCTTCAACAACAGCAGGAGGAGAAAGAAAGCACATTACATGCTTGAAATCAGCCCTCTGCCATTATTTTAGTGGGGGGACACTTTCGCTTTCAGGGGTGCTCTGCAAGTTGAGAGTTGCGAGATGTGGAGATGAGATTTTCCTTGGCTCAAATCACAGATTTCATGAGTGCACCTGCTATTGTGCCTCCCGCATTGTTTTGGTGTTTTGTTGAGTGTCACATATCAGTAATGCAAATGAGGCAATAAAACGAAAGGGAAGTTGATCGGTTTCCCCAGTACACAAAAGTTGGAAGTTGGGTTACTCAGAAACGTATTAGCTACTCGATTATCAGACTACTCATTCATAAGTTACGGCGAGCATGTAAATGTACAATAATAGACACACCTCTACGGTCTACAATAATACCGCTGTACATGCACACTTGAATGACAGTCAATGTTTGACTTGATCTTTCCCTCTTCTTTTTTTCTAGTATTTTTTCTACTCAAGCATGGCGGTGATAATTGGATTGTGTGGACACCTGTATGAGTGCAGTATATCCAGGGGATTAGAGAACGGGATGGGTGAGTCAGCTCAAATTATTGTCATGTTAACCCATACAACCGGCAGCCGTAGCCCCCTACTACTGACTAAAATAAGGTCACAGCGGTCCCACAACCTGTCCAACCTCAACAACCTCTAGAGCCAGAAACGTACAGGGGATTTTACTAAAACTAGAGCATAACTCAAATGGTTATTTGAAGATCCGCAATGGTTATTCCAACATTGTTTATCATGCAAAAATTTGCTTTACAGGGTACAACAGGGGTACAACAAATTGTCTCTTTTCCCAGTACTTTTCTAGAAGGTACCTTAAGGGTACTGCTCTGAGAAACTAATATGACACGTTTAGGGATAAAAGGGGGATATTTTAAGGGGTCTGCCTTAGTGACAAACTTTTGGTCCCATAAAGGAACATATTTTGCACATTATTTTTTTCTGACTCTTGAATTTATATATTCACAGAAGCCAATCATTCACCACACAACCTGTTTTGGGCAGCACAAAGCATATATTATTACCCCATATTTGATTAAAACTGGTTTGTATAAAATTATTTAAAAATACATTACAAATATTATTCACACATATAATGACTTATCTATAACTCTTTTAATAGGCATGTTTTTAAACGTTTATTTAGATATTTTTCTGGGTTATTGAGTAAAACATAGGTTTATACAACTGTTCTTATATTACAATAAAGAAAAAAACTAACTGAAAGAATTACATTCTTCATAATTAAACAATTTATTAATGTTCTTTATTACTAATGAAGGTTTTTTCCGGTTTTAGAATGTCATATTGTGTGACTGCCCAAAAATCTAAGGATATTTATGAATTTATTTTATGATTTTGAAAATAATGACTATGTGTACATTCCTACGCTATCTCACGACCAATCCGTACGAATTCGTACGAGTGATTCAAAAGTGGCTAATTCGTGGCTAATTCGTACTTATTCATACGACCTCACTCGTACGAATTTGTACGATTTTTCTAAACCCACGTGATGGTTATGTTTAGGGGCGGGGTCAGGGGTAGGTCATTCGTACGAATTCATACGAATTGGCTAATTCGTAAAATATGTACGATTTAGCAAAATCATACTAATTCGTACGAGCGAGGTCGTACGAATTGTTACGAATTAGCCACCTCGTAAAATTCGTACGAATTCCCGTGAGATCGGGTTGGTACATTCGTATGTATTTAAATTTTAAGGAAAATATGTTATTACTTTCTACTTGATGGTTACACCACATGCCATTTTAGAGTTATTATGATAACTTCTTGAAAATTATATTATAAAAGCAATCATATAAAACCGACATGAATATATTTGAATGAACTGTAGCTAGAGTTTTTCTAGACATTGTTGAATGTTACTGATCCATTAACCTGACAGATTTGCATCTTTTTTGCAAATCTGTTTTCATATATCCTAACCATGCACAATTATGTGCTTAGTTGCATTGTTTTGTTTGCATTTAGCTTTTCCCCTTCACTTTTGAGGTCCCGACCAACCAGTTGAGAACCACAGCTTTTTCCACAGATTCACTTTTATATGTTAAGAAAGTCCTTTAGTTCCAGTATCCCGTTCTGTCTTGGTGCACGAAGGATAAATGTTGGACGCCACTGCCAACAGCCCTTGTATGAGCTCGTCAGGGCGGCCATCGTTAGCAGGAGTCGGTAAACAGAGCGTGGAGTGTGCGGAAGGGGGGCAGAGGTGCCGAAAGACGAGACGGCAATAGTGAAACTCAAGCTTGTTGGAGTAGGGAAGGGGGTGGTTGTTTGACCACCGGGATGAGCGATGAGTCGACGGTCCCATCAGAAAGCACTGCCACGGCAACAGCACGGATTCACTAGGTGTCGTCTAGGCAGGTGATTCATCAGCCCATGCCGGGGCTGGGTCTCTGAAAAACTTCCCATGGTCACTTCAGAGTGCGAATACGTAATGAGCTGGAGGGCTCCACATTTGCCACGGCTGATTAGACGAGAACAATGGGCCCAAACAGAACTGGCAGCCCTCACAATGGGGACTGGAAAGCCTCAAGGCGTTGCCTCCATATTTTTAGGGTAAGAAGAGAGAGAGAAAAGTGAGAGAAACTAGTTTATAACTCTGTGCTCTCTTTCGGATGGCGGTTGAACGTGTACGACGCTTTGTCACAAGACTTCCGAGAGTGTGTATATTGCGCTCAAAGGCTAAAGAATGATGGGGAAACAATGTTTTGTCAATATATTTTAATTAATAGACAGAGGAACCTAAAAAACTGTAGCCAATGAGAAAGATTCGGATCACGGTTATTAAAGTTAACTAAAACCAAAACCGTTAAAAAAATCGTTACTTGAAATAAATAAACATTAACTCAAAATAAGTATTAATAAATCGGGGTCCCAATTCTCACTATTAACTAGTTGCAGGTTAGCATAGCTGTTTATTAGTACTTATAAAGCACATATTAATGCCTTATTCTACATGATTATTTTCTACATCCGTTAATCTATCCAATGCCTAAACTTAACAACTACTTTACTGACTATTAATACACAGTAATTAGGAGTTTATTGAGACAAAATTTGTAGTTAATAGTGAGAATTTCAGTAAAATTTTATGTCAGCTTGCTGCCAAGGGAACAATTTCTCATTCTCAAAAACGTGTCTGTCATGAATTCTGTAAGATCGATTAATCGCATTAAACATAAAAGATTGTTTATATAATATATGTGTGTGTATACATACACACACACATATATATATATATATATATATATATATATATATATACATTCACACACATAAATTATATAAACACGTTTTGTTAGATGCGATTAATCACGATTAATCGATTTGACAGCAATAATTTAAATAAATACCAATATCTAATAAAAATGACAAAAACCCACAACAAAAACTAAAATTAAAGTGAAATGGAAAAGAAAAAATAATAATATAATGACATAAAAGATTGTGTTTGTAATATATGTGTGTATACACACACACACACACACACACACACAGTACACCCATATATATATATATATATATATATAACTACTTTACTAACATATATATATATACACACATAAATTATATAAACACAATTTTTTTTAGATGCGATTAATCGCGATTAATCGATTTGACAGTAAAAATTTAAATAAAAACTAATATCTAATAAAAATGACAAAAACACACAACAAAAAACTAAAATTAAAGTGAAATGGAAAAGAAACAATAATATAATGACATAAAATATTATGTTTATAAGATATGTGTGTGTATACATACACACACACACACCTATATATATATATATATATATATATATATATATATACACACAGATAAATTATATAAACACAATATTTTTTAGATGCGATTAATCGCGATTAATCGATTTGACAGCAATCGCGATTAATCGATTTGACAGTAAAAATTTAAATAAAAAACAATATCTAATAAAAATTACAAAAACACAACCAAAAACTAAAATTAAAGTGAAATGGAAAAGAAAAAATAATAATATAATGACATAAAAGATTATGTTTATAATATATGTGTGTATACACACACACACACACACACACACCTATTTATATATATATATACACACACACATAAATTATATAAACACAATATTTTTTAGATGCGATTAATCGCGATTAATCAAGTTAATCGAAAACCAATATCTAATAAAAATGACAAAAACACACAACAAAAAACTCAAATTAAAGTGAAATGGAAAAGAAAAAATAATAATATAATGACATAAAATATATATATATTTTTTTATGAAAATAGTGTTATTTGAACAAAATATTAGTGGTCAAAAGAATTCGCCCCAAAATCTCTAGATATGGGATTCTTTGCCCATTTTATGAGATGAAAACGAACACAAACGGTTATATGATTTGAGGTTTCATTCATGCCTGTAGCAGAAACTGTTCAGGACGAGTTGAAACGGTCAATATTAACAGGGATTTAGCAAACTCCACTAATACTTAAATAAAAAGTGTCATTTAATTCCTATGAAATTGTTCAATTCTTTTGGCACTGATTATTTGTGTGCAATATTAACATGCTGTTTATAGCTACAGTACATTTAAATTAACAGTCCTTCTCTGACCAACCAAAAATGTGATAATCTTAACTAAGCAATTTGGCCTGGAAAGAGATCAACGTCATTAGTGTCTTTTGTTTGACAAAGAGGAACTGGCTCGTGCAGAGCGTTCAATCTCCACAGTAGGCATATCTCTTTGAACACACTCGATGAAATGAGTTTCTGTATCAGTTGGAGACAGTTTCGCTCTCCACTTTAAAAATAGAGATGATGGGAGGGAAGCCCCTGGAATATTTATTGGGAGGGGGGGAATAAATCCACAGCCCACTGACAATTTTCTCTTTTCGGTCACATGTTCTTCACTGTTTTTCCGTTAAGTACTTAACGGTATTTACATATTATTTCAGTATAGTGCGGCAGATACAGCCGGGCTGAAAGAATTCACGCTTAATTGTATTTCATAAATCATATTGGGAACCCCTTCAGAATAAGCTCCCTGTAACAAAATGATAAAATGGCCAATTATGAGAAAATTCCAGGGTCCTTAATTTACTAAACACACTCCGGAGAGACTCTTTTGAGAGCAGAGATAGACTCCTTGTTGAATTGTTTTCCTTTAGTAAATGGAGTGGCTTTACATTATTTTACCAAATAAATGATCATTCATTGTTTTCAATGCTTTCTCTGAACATTTACGCTCACGACATCCGTCACTAACTGACCACTGTGACCTTCCCCCTTCCATCAGGAGGATTGCACCTAAACTAGTGTTTGCAGTCTAAACTATCGTCTTTTGAACGCAAATAACTGGAGTGATAGGTCGAGATAGCAGTTCCATCACTCTCAGAACTGCTCAGATTCCTAATCAGAGTATTTGTTTTTGAGCAAACCTGTGGACTGAGTTCTCCCGGTCTGTCGTCTCCAGATCTGGCAGACTCGCCGCTTCAACTCTGACCTCTCAGTAAA